TATATCTATATCTATATCTATATCTATATCTATATCTATATCTATATATATTTGTTTTCTTAAGTTTTCGCAGGTACTTACATGTATGGCATTCAGCTTTGTTTGGGTATTTTCCCACGTCATTGTAGTTGTGCTTTTAAAGTTGTAGCATATATACATATATACATATTCTAAAATATGCTAATGACGATTTAAATGATATTAGGAAAACAGAAATTATGATGACCTGGGTGAAAATCTGGTATTAATTATGTTCAAAAAGTGTGAATTAGGGTTATATAAATGCTATAGGTTGAAACTGGTCAAAGGGAAGTAAAAGGGGAAATTAACTGTTTTTATTTTTTATTTTTTCTTTGTGGTATACATGAAATAGAAAATATAATTGATTATACAAAGGATATGAGAAAATAGAAAATATAATGAACTAGAAGGGATTATGTGGGAATGTAAAATATTTATAATGAATGAATTATAATCAAAAGCAGGGGAATGAAAATTTATTAAAATTATATAGACAAGGAGATTGTTGTCCTGAAACAAGTACCCAGAAGAGTGAGAGAGATGAGAAGAGAATACCGATTTCTGACCAAAATGCTACTTAAAAAAGAGGTGAATTATAGATGGCTGATTCCAGAAAGTTTAATGTTCACATGGCAAGAACAGAGACATAGAATTGACTCAATTGAGAAAGCTGAATCATTTTACACAGAATTTTTTGGAGGGAAAGAGGAAGAGGCAGAAAAAGAAATCTCACTAATTGAATTCCAAGAGGACTGCCAAATGGCGACTGAAAAAGAAGAAGGTGCAGTAGGTGGAAAGGTGGAAGCCAAAGAACAACGTGAACCAAGATCTACAAGAGCTACAACATATAACCATGGAAGAGAAAAAACTGATCACAATTAATATAAATGGACTTAACTCAGCTGTTAAAAGAAGGAAAACTTTCCATAAAGACTAGTCTCTAAGGCATTAGAAGATGAGTATAAAGGACTTGAAAAAGAGCTACAGAAAATGCCACAGAAAAAGGACATTAGGTTAAAAATGGATATAATTAAACATAAAATGGGTCTAATAGAAAAAGAAGAATTAGCACAGAAAATCAGAGGTGCTAAACAGAACTACTTTGAAGATGCAAATAAACCAGGTAGTTGGTTAGCATATAAATTGAGAAAGGAGAAAGAATCAAGGAAAATATTGCAATTAATAGATGACCACGGCCAAGTTTGCTATGGTAGTAAAGAGAAGAAGGAAATCATACGAGACTATTATGGGAAACTATACACACAAGAGAATATTGATGAGGAAAGAGTTAAACAGTATTTACAGAATGCTAATTTACCCCGGATACCGAAAGAGATTGAAACAATGTTAGAAAGCAATATAACGATGATGGAGTTAACTGAAGCACTCAAGAAGCAAAATAAGAACTATAGACCTATTTCCTTACTAAACGCAGATTATAAAATTTTTGCTTCAATATTGGCAGAAAGATTTAAAAATACTTAAACGATTTTATCCATCCTGATCAAAATGGATTTCTGCCAAAGAGACAAATTAAAGATAATATGAGAGTAATCTTGGACACTTTGGAATACTACGAGGCACACCCTGAAAAACAAATGGCTTTGATATTTCTAGATGCACAGAAGGCATTTGATAATGTGAATTGGTGATTCATGTTATTATAGCTGGAACAGATGGGCTTTGCTAAAAAAATTATTCAAGCAATAGAAGCTATATATCATAAGCAAACGGCAAAGGTAATGATAGAGGGAGAACTGACAGACTCTATTGATATAAGAAAAGGAACAAGACAAGGATGCCCACTATCACCTCTGTTCTTTGTGTTAACCTTGGAAGTGCTAAACAGAAATATTAGAGAAGAAAAGGATATAAAAGGGATGAAAATTAAAAAGGAAGAATTTAAGTTGCAAGCATTTGCAGATGATCTGGTTTTCATTTTAGAAGACCCACTAGAAACAGCATCAAAATTGATAGAAAAGATAGAGGCATATGGAAAGGTGGCTGGTTTGAAAATAAATAAAGATAAGACAAAGATCTTGACAAAGAATATGCTATCAAGACAAAAGGAAGAACTGGCAGATCTATTGAAAATTCAGGTCACAAATAAGATCAAGTACTTGGGGATACATTTGACAGCAAGATGCAGTACACTAAAAGAGAATAATTATATCAAACTTAAGCAGCAGATAGATTTGGTGAAATGGGAAAATTTACAACTGTCATTAATAGGGAGAATATCAACAATCAAGATGAATATATTACCCAGAATTTTATACTTGTTCCAAACAATTCCAATTAGGCTTGGAAAAGATTACTTTGAAGATTTAAATAAAATTGTGTTGAAATATATATGGCAAGGTAAGAAAGCGAGAATAAAGTTACAACTTTTGCAAGATGCCAGAATAAGAGGAGCATTTGGTTTGCCTAATTGGGAGTTGTATTACCAAGGTACAAATTTGATGTGGGTTAAGGAATGGATAACATTAAGAAATACTAGATTGTTGACATTAGAAGGACATGATCTGTTGTTGGGGTGGCATGCTTTTCTATGGTATAAAGGAACTAAAACACAGGGGTATTTTAGAAGACATTATATACGGGAGTCTCTGTGGTTAAACTGGGAGAAGACTAAAAGACAATGTTATTTGAAAATTCCAGTCTGGCTATCGACTACTGAAGCATTTTCAAAAATATTGGAATGTGCTGAAATGAGTAGATTGACATTTGAAATCAGAGAACAAGATGATAAACAATTTTATAAAATTTGGGATCTATTCTATCAATGGTTAGACAATAAAACATGGTAATGAAATATGTAGATTCTTAGAAAATAATAAATATATAAAGATGTATTCTTTTCTTATTATATCTACAAAATGATTGTAGGATAGATTTGAGATGATAATATGAACTGTCATAAAACAAATTAAGTAAAATATGATTATTTCTTAAAACATGAATGAATAAAAGTATAGTCAAATGATTGACTAACAATGATATTAATGTATTTCATACTTGATTGAAAATATGAGAATATATACAATATACAATATAATTGTAATTGAAGACTACAAAATGGAAGCACAAAACAATTTGTAAACCAACTGGCACACTGTATGTATATATATGGAAGATGGCTTGATGTTTTTATGTTTTGTTTGTCTATGTTCGTCTTAAAAACCAATAATTTTTTTTTTTAAAAAAGCAGGGGAATGAAAATTTATTAAAATTATATAGGTAAATTTTGGAAACAAAGGAAAAAAATATGTATGGTTGGACAATTCCTTTGTTGGTATAGCTGTGCACGCTTCGCATGGAAACCAGAAATGCAACTCCACTGAACTTTCTAAGCAGCCTTTAGCTAATGTTGATGCTGAACATAATGATTGTGAATATTATAGTTTCTCAACAATGCAGTTCTCACAATGAAAACAAAAGTCATGTGAATGGAAGATGGTACCTCATTCTAAGCCATGTCCTTGGTTCATCCAGTCCAATACTTCCAACCTTGCCCTCCCACTTCAGGTTCCCATAATCCTTTGACATTGTCAGTTGGCTGTCACAGATGGGAGATGAAAACCTGAATATCAGGGTCAGTCAGTACTTGGCCCTAGGAGCAACAGTGCATCTCTTTCCACCTTTACAAGGCACTAATCTTTTTGCTACTTGTTTCTCAGCCTTGAATGCTGGCAGCAATTACATTTTCACAACCATCTTGTCCAGCCTCTGACTTAATTTCAGTCTTTACCATTTTAATTGTTTGTGCCCCCACCATGTAGCAGTTTGCAAGCTTTCTGGGTATTTTCCATGGACATTGAACTGGATGTGCCAGAATAGAACTGGGACTTTTTACATGCAGAACATACAACTCTAGACTGTTCCTCTTCCATTCACCCTAGCTAAGTCTCCTACGACAGATATCTGACTAATACAATTCTACCAAGTTCCGATGTTCTCCTTCTGCATTAAATTTTTTCCCACGGCTAGATCTATTCAGCTTTTTTGCATTTGCTTGAAATTTCTTGAATAAGCTCCTCTCATCATCATCATTTCTTTTCTTTTTTTATTGTAATTCTCCCTATCCCCATAGTTTCTTTGGACAAATGATTGGCATATCCTTGGTCCTGTTTACTATTATCAGCATCTAATATTCAGGGTGTTTTTTCTCTCTCTCCAAAGGAATATGTTCTAAACTGGATGGTTTTTTTTCCCCCACTGTGTTTGCCTGAAGGACTTGCAAGTTCAATGAAGCTTGTTTTCAGTTTAGACATGACAGCATAGATTCAAAAATATGTTTTCCTTTTTTGTATGCTTTTTATTACTTTCAGTTAAAAATGTGGCTATTGAAAGTAAATGTAAATGAGTAAATGAGAAATGCAATTAAGGAATTGTGTTTAAAAATATTTAAAAAAGAAGAAAATATTTAACTAGAAGACCTCTAAGGTCCCTTCTAACTCGATTATTCTATTATTCCTACTTCTGGAACGGAATCATTCTTTTATATAAAGATTCTCAGAAATTCAGTAATTATTATTCTTAATTTATAAATTCTAGACAATTTAAATAGAATTCTATATATTCTAAAGAAAATAACTTCCATTGTGCTGTAAGTCTCCATGCACCAGCCTTGAATATTTCTAATTTTATATCTTTATTTGAGTCAGAATATCCTAGTTGGCTGTCTGACTGTACATGTAGTTAGTGACATGAAAGTGTAGAGGGCAGAGGAAAGGGCCCTGAAGGACAGAAGCAAGAGTCACTACCAAGGCAACAGTCAGATTGTTGTGGCCTATTGGCCACCGCCCCCTCCAGCAGCCAAATCAGAAGAGGAGGAAGAGGCGTAGGAGTCAGAGTCAGCATCAGGGCAACCTGGGAGCTCCGAGGGAGAAGAGCCCACTGTAACTACATAGTCAAAAAGGCGTTAAGAGTTGTTAACCTAATCTTATGTAGCTTTTTCTCTGGTAATATCACACGACTAACTAGAGCATACAAAACATTTGCTAGACCAATACTCGAATACAGCTCATCAGTCTGGAACCCACATTACGTATTTGATATTAACACAGTTGAGAAAGTCCAGAAATATTTCACAAGAAGAGTGCTCCACTCCTCTATTCGTTGCAGAATACCTTATTCCACCAGAAATTGAAATTGAAATTCTAGACCTAGAAAACCTAGAACTACACCACCTTCGGTCCGATCTAAGTATAGTATATAAAATCATACATTGCAACGTCCTACCTGTCAATGAATACTTCAGCTTCAACCATAACAACACATGAGCACACAATAGATACAAACTCAAGGTTTATTGCACCAAACTTGATTGCAGGAAATATGACTTTAGCAACAGAGTGATCAATGTCTGGAATACTCTACCTGACTCTGTGCTTTCTTCC